GAGGATGATCTAGGGATGGCAAAAATCTCGTCGGCTCGAGCTCGCCAGGAAAAAGCCCGAGCTGAGCCCCATTTGGCCGGCTCGTGTCACGGGCTGTTTCGGCCCGTAAGAGCTGCCCGTTTAAAAAAAATTAAAATAAAGGTAAAATAGCTGCCATCGAGCCGGCTCGGCTCGACTCGCTAAGGCTCGAGTCGAAAGCTGGGGCTAAGCCTCGTTTTTTGGCCGAGCTTTTGCTCGGCTCGAGCAAAAAAAAAAAACTGTGCCCTTGTTGGCTCGAGCTGAGCCCGAGCTTCGAGTTTCGGCTCATTGCCATGACTAGGATGATCATTTTCTAATTGAAATAATAGGTATCCAATTTCAATTAGGGGAAGGTGCCCTTGATTTGTGATTTTGGGGAGAACGATTACTGATTGGAAGAATGGAGAATGAAGAACGAGGCCGGTTGGTTTTGTTTTGGATTTAAAAAATAAATAAATAAAGGCCAAAACATTTTTGGAATATACATGGGACAATTTTTTTGTTGATTCCGAGGTTATAGCTGATTTGGCTTGATTTTATCTGACGTTAGTTGCCTATCAACTTTTCGTCCACCACATCAGCGGAAATAGTAATGAATTTTTTGGGTGATGAAGGTAGTGCAAACGGAGGAAGTTAGTGAGTAGTGTGAAGTACATTAAAGTTTAGTGAACGGTCCATAACCATGATATGAGTTGAGTGATTTTTGAAACAATTAACTCGTATTTAATTATTTTAATATAATCTATGGGCATGTTTGTTTTTTATTCTCAAATTATACAGTAAATCAGTTCTCATTTTCAACCACACATTCTTCAATAAAATAATATTTTCCATCACATCAATAATTTTTTCTTCTTTTTCAACCAGACATTTCCCATCATATCACTATTCAAAATCAATTCTTCCCCCAAAAATCCCTACACACACATTTTTCAATAAAATAATATTTTTGATCACATCAATAATTTTTTCTTCTTTTTTAACCACACATTTCCCATCATGTCACTATTCAAAAATCAATTCTTCCCCCAAAAATCTCTATCAAACAAGCACTATATCTATAATTTGTTAAATATCATATCAAGTGATAATCAATTTTATTTTTTTTACGATTCTATCATTACTATAATTCAATTCTTTAATAATACATTATTTTTTGTTTTTTAATATGTATTTAATTATTTTAATAATATATTACTTTTCATTTTTCGATATGTATTTAATTTATTAATTATAATTATTGGAACAATACTATCATTAATTATTTTGTCAGCTATTTAGTTATGATGAATGTACATTTGAGTTTTGACACATTTATTACCTTACTTTTCGTTTTTTTAATGTGTATTTAATTTATTTAACCATATTTGACGGATTCATTACACTCTCAATTTTTCAATATGTCTTTGATTTATTTAATTATTTGAACAATATTATCATGAATTATTTTTTCAATTGTTTAATTATTATCAATTTACATTTGACATATTCATTCCACTTTATTGGATGGTAAATTAAATTTATTTTTAAAAAAATTGGAATAAAAGATGACCCGTTTTATAGTTTTCTTCCAATTGATTTATTCAATGAATGTTAATATATGAAAAAGGTAAACTAGAGGATATAATGTGTATCTATAATAAATAATCTCAATTGATATATTTAATGTATATTAAGCGAATATGAATATATGATGATATTCATTGGATGTTCAGTTCAGATCAAAAAGGGTTATGGAGGAACTATTCAATCAACTTCCTCAACTATTTAAATTGTTTTCATAAACTGATTTTTATTTCATTTGATTCAAAAATTCATTCCTCATAAACAATGTGTATTAATTATTTTTATATTCTCATATCTTAAAATATTATTTTTATAATACAAGTATTTTAGAATAAGATGCAACGCACGTTCAATGATGACTAGTGTATTACAAATAAGGCGTGAAATTATTTCATATTGTAATAGGATTTATTTCTTGTTTAGATTATGACTTTTTTTCCTTCTATATTTTTTATTTCTCATTCTTTTAGGGTTTAACTACTTTCCTTACGAGAAGATTATTTTACCTATATAAACAATGATTTTGGAACATTTAGTGATCAATTTATTACAACAAATTTATTTTTTACAAATTTTTGAGTTGATTCAACTTTATTCTTGTTTCAAAAATCAATTTCGCTTTCGTACCAAAACTAGTATTAAAGCAAAGTTCTGATGTTAGCTGATGGGGTCACCTTGGTGGTAGTGGCATACATCATTGAGATGATGATCAAAGAATTGCAGAATTATCAGCATTTGTCTATAAGCTGGAATAAATAATGGATAAGTTCAAAGATGCTATTGACAAAAAATTGCAAATTTTGACTGCTATGAGTGATGGTGGCTTCAACTAGTCCAAATCACTATAATAGGTGGCTAGATATTTTCTTCGAGTCCAACTATGTACGCATATCACGACGTGGTGAAATTTTTTTTTTAGATTTTTTCTCGTGATTGATTAATTCATCGATCTTTCCTTTTATTCATTATTTATTTCCTTAACCTTTCAGGTCGTATTCTTGTACATTCTTATTAATCAAGCACATCTATGGCTTCAAATCTCAATGATTATTATTTTGCTCTTGCGCTATCCCCTCTCGATCACTATGTTCTACATTCTAGGAAAACAAAGGGATGGAATCAGGAACTGAGACCAATCAAAGAACGCAATCGAAACTTGACAATTCTTGTGAATGCCATGAAATGGCGCTCACAACTCAATGTTCTCAAAAAGAATGCCGAGAATTGAACCTTCAATAACAAATTGTTGATTCTTGAGAACTCTAACTTGAACTGAAAATTCGAACAAAAGCTAACACCTTATACATTTTATTCAAGATTCTAACGAGAAACATTGTATCCAAATTACACATGATCAAAATTGCACCTTGAACATAATAGGGTCATAAGTCACGACTGTGCGTTTTTTGTGGTTGTTTTGATTGATAATTTTTTTATAGAGTTCATCTGAAACTGTTTAGTTTATCTCGATGTTTCATGTGAATCAACAAGATTGATTGTATGTTTCTTGTTTCTCACATTTATTTTAACACATACATTGATGCGTACGAGAGAGTGCCATCACCGTATAAATGTTGGACAAAACATGCACACTTCACACGATGAGTGGTGCAATGGCCGATTTAAAGGAAAGCGGGGAGGTCAATTGCAATCAGCTGTCCACATTGAGAGTTACAAGTTTGAAAAAAGCACTTCCCTCCGTCCCATTTATATAAGTTGTATTTCCTTATTTTCTTGCCCAAATTACAGTCATATTTCTTTATTGAGAATGTATTTGTTTTATTTGTTTACTAATATATCATTATTTAATTTACATAGTTATAACCAATTCTCTCTACTCAATCTTAAAATTACACACATGCATACATTCAATTTGTTTACTACTTCCAACAATAATTGAATCACCATTATTTTTAAATACTACTACTATTATATTATGACTACAAATTAGGAAAAATCTTTGTAAATTTTTTTCTTTTCAATAGGGTAATTATATTACGACTACAAATTTTACGCACCACAATTTTTAACATTTTTCTTATTTGCTTAAATAGCCTTTAAGTAAATGCATAATTAGAATCGATAAATTTTTTTTTGCATAATTAGAGTTTTAATATATAATTACCCTAAAATTTGATTAAGTGCACCACAATTTTTTTTTTTTTTTTGTCTTCTTCGCTTTCCTACACACCCCAAACACAAAATCACATAGGATAATCTCCACTCTCAAATCATCGGAAAAGCCAACCACCACCTCAAAATCGCCAACCGTCGGCATAGCAAAAACCAAAATCAAAAAATCAAAAACTACAAATGGTGAAAGTTCATTTCTGTTGCTTTTGCTTTCCATGGATATTAAAACAATCAAACCGAATGTATCTAAAAAGTTATGAAGAATTGCAATGGACGACTACAACTTTCTTTGGCATATTACTTTTCAAGAAGGAATACAAAATGAAAAATCTTTTGGCATGTGAGACAACACAGTAGCCTTGCTGTATCTTCTTCTTCCTCAATCCTCCCACCCCCACCCAAAGCTCCGGCAAAGAATTCCTCTCAATCTTCGACGACTGCCTTTCAAATCTTCTTAACCCATTCTCAAAACCCCAATTAATTCCTAAATTAATCACTCTAAAGGCATTCTCACTCCCCCTGTTGCACTCCACAACTCCATTTCACAAAAAAATTCCCCTTTTCAAAAACCTCTCTAATTTCGATTTCACATAATCCCCAAACACCCTAATAATTAAGTAATTGGTTATAGCAAATTGGATAACAAAAATTAAACAACGGATCTCAACTCGAGATTATGAACAGAGTTACAGAGTAATGTTATCTATCATCGTTGATATTTAACACCGATTTAGGTGTCATTACTTGTGTCATTAAATTATATATTCAATTAAATACAAAAAAATATAATTAATTTATTATGACTTATAACATGTTGATACTTGGATTGGTACTCTAGTGCAACTGATACTAGATAGCATTATTTTTATGAACATGAGATTAAATTAATATTTAATTTTGACTATATTTATAAATTGTATCAAAAAATTGGACTTGAAAAACCGTTTCTTGTCAAAATTCAGCCCATGTTTGACTCCTATTTTTTCAAAATTCATTGTTAAATGTACATTTTTACATAAAATAATTTTATATATAAATAAAAAACTTTTCTCTTTTTTTAATCACAAGTTATTAGAAAAAAAAAAAAAAAAATCATTATTTTATAATAGATTTTCTCTCAGGACTCAATGAGCTCAAATTAGCCCTCAGCTCAAATATTTCAAGGACGTCTAATGTAGTTCACATTCGCTGGCCTTAGCGTCTTTTTCTCACCGGTGGAGCGTGAATCAAACTCTGCGTTTCGATATACGGCAGTGACTTCACCGGAGATTTTTCCGGCCATCATGAAAAGACCAAAAAACCCCTTGCCACAACCCATAATCCCTCCATCAACCCCACAGCAACAATCAACCACAAACCTCCGACCAATTTCCAAGAAGCCCAGAAACATTCTCCAAAATTCCCAACTCCTCACCGTCAACTGGACTCCTCTCAACGCCGGAAAATCGGAACTCTACTTACCACTCACTTTTCCGACCGGCCAAACCTTCAGGTGGAAACAAACAGGCCATTTACAGTACACGGGTTCAATTGGGTCCCATTTAGTTTCCCTCAAACAACTCGAAAACGATGACGTTGGGTACTTTTTTCATAATGAGGATTTTGCTAGTGGGGAATCTAAAGGTGCGTTGTTTGATTTTTTGAATATGGGTATTTCGTTGAGTGAGTTATGGGAGGGATTTAGGGCGTCTGATGAGAGATTTTGTCAACTGGCGGAGTATTTGGAGGGTGCCAGGGTTTTGAGGCAGGACCCATTGGAGTGTCTGATTCAATTTGTTTGTTCATCTAATAATAACATTCAGAGGATTACTAAAATGGTTGATTTTGTTTCATCAAAGGGAAGATTTTTGGGGTCTGTGGAAGGGTTTCATTTTTTCGAGTTCCCAACTCTTGATCGATTGGCATTAATGACTGAAGCTGAGCTTAGAGAAGCTGGTTTTGGGTATAGGTAAAGTTCTTTTTGCTCCTCTGCTTACAGGAAAACCTTAGCTTAATGCTATTTGGATTTGTGTGTTATGATTATAAGCATTTCTTTTGATAAATTGGTTGATTTGGTTTCATTCTGATTTAGATTGCATTGGCCCGAAGATTAGACTTAATGGTGAACATTTCTGAGAATAGATATTGTTGCAGAATTGATCTTGAATGTGGAATCCGGGCTTAGTTTGCAGTATTTTATCCCAAGTCAACATACACAACCACGAGTTCAATAACCTACAACTATGTTAGTCCGGTTGCCCAAGTTAATATATTCACAAAGGTACACAAGTATGGTGGTGGTTTGCAAGCCACAAAGGCAAAGAGAAAAGCAGTCAAGGCAAGGCACAAGCGAATGAGCATCCACCGGTTTTTGTCTCAAAATAAGGCAAAGCACACACACGGTTATTACCCTAGCCAAGGCCATATATAGATTTAGGGCAAAGTCAAATGGGCAACCAAAGGCAAATGGGCCTAAGATATATTAAAAAGGACTATCCAATAAGTAAATAGTTTTTTTTCGAGTTGAGCTACCAGGTTGGTGTGCTGATATAATTTCATACATCGACCAAGGCCTATGTAATTAAACTGTTTAACATCATCGCTCAGAATTTATTGAGCATCAAAACTCAACAAATCTCCGCTTTGATACCCAGTCAACCTGCAAGCAATCAAAACACAAAGTTAATACTTACATAATCAAGGTAACCAATAAAATTGGGATCATTAACATTACCTTGTGCGTCGAACTCAAAACACATACCATACCTGCTCCTTGTACTCACCAGGGTTAAGGTAAAAAAACACCCAAGTAATCACAGTAATCAATTAAGAGCATATTATGCATACGATGAAGATATATCATAGAATAACATAGATTTTTTCAAAACACGTACATACAGAACAACAAATTAACATCAAGTTAATCAATCATGTGGCCAATACATATGCAACAAATGTATAAATGACCACACGAAAAAATCTTACACTTATCCTGTCCCATTTTGTGTCGCTCATACCTCGAAAACACATCTCATCTCATGTTGACGATGTTCATTAAACTGATTACTAAACTCATGTTTAACTGTAAACCACAATAGATTCCAAGTCCATGGTATAATCCTCTATCACCATCCTACTTCTCCCAACCTAGTGGATAATGGATCTCCATCTAATAGAAGTGATAGAAATGTTACCCTCACACTCCACATGTACAAGGTATTTACAGATAAATGATTACAGATATTTAATCACATATCAACTAGTTATCCAAATGTCACTCTCCACATCCCCCGCGCATCACCCATGCACCCTTAGACATCTATACTCCACATCACCGATAGACACACAACACACTGACTCTTAATGTATCCCAACTCATTATGCATGCAAACACATTACACCAAGTAATCAGATTGCTCTGAAATTCATGCAAATGTACATATCAAACATATCGAAAATGCAGCATATAACTACTATGCAACTGAATTAAGCAATCACTCACACGTAGAAAGGATTACGCACATATGCATATCTAGTATCTAGGTTTACTCTCGATAAACCTTACTATGGTCATCACTTGACCCTATAGTCACATTTACCTCACCTCTCATCTTACCTTTCTACTTATCCTTCTTCTTGGGATAATCCTCACAAAGTGTCCATAGTGATCACTGCTATAACACCGCTTACCACAGGACTTGTTCCAACCCTTGCTCTTCTTCGTCCTACCCTCATCACTCGAGTCACTATTGTCTTAAGCTCTAACCAAACTCATTTACTTAACTTCATTATATTCCTTATCATATGTACCTCACCACACCTCTTATCCTATTTTTCAGCCTTAATCTCCATATCTTTACTTCTAAGAGAATCAATGACAATCTTAGGTGTTAGGGCGTCTCTACCATACTTAATCGTATTATTAATCTCCCTATATCAGTCAGACATAGAATTCAACAAAATAATTACCTTGTATGTTTCAGATACCTTCTTATCACCATTAACAATATCTTGAACAAGTTCGTTAAAAACATCTAAATGGTCTTTGAAGATCGAAGGATCTATTTTAAAACTAAAAAATCTTTCGAGCAAATACAACTTATTAGGGGTAGATTTGGGCAAATATAAGTCCTCCAACATTTTTCATAGTTCTTTTGTAAAATCAAGTTTTTTAACTTTTCCCCAAAATAATGTCAGATGGGTGTAAAATAATTGAAATGTAAGCAAGTTCATCATATTCTTCTTTTTATGCTTTTGTCAAATCAGCGGGAAAATTGCTATCTATGGCTTTTAAAACCTTTGGTTGACATAAAATTCCCTTTATTTTTTGTTGCCAAATTGAAAAAATCTCATTTTCCATTGAAAATTTCAACTTCAAAATTTGAAGACATTTTGAAAAAATAGAACCAAAGTTCACAAATAATCACACAAAGTAATCCTAATGCCACAATATATACCGTTCTAGATTCTCAGAATTTCGAAAGATTCACGATCTTAGATCAGGGGAATGTTTAAATGGGTTAAGTCTATGTGTTCTAATAGAATAGTCAATGTAACACGAAGGTACCTAAACAAAAATTTAGTTTCTCCCGCAATGCAGTCTCATACAGTGATTAAATGGCAATTAGAACACAAAAGCAATTACAAACACTTCAAATAGAACAAATAATTCCTAAATTCTAGCACAAGCAATGCTAAAATTTAAATGGGATAAGTAAATTTAGCAAAGCGAACTTTTGTATGTAATGGGATATGCGAATATGCTGCTTTAGGACCACCATTATTTGTCCTAAAGTTTAAGCAAATGCAGCAGTACGATCAATCGATAATCGCAATCAAGCGTATAGGGGCAAAATCGTCCAAATTCGTCTTATAACCTGAAACGGAAAACTAACACCAAATCATTAGAAATCACATTAGAAATATTCTTCATGAAGAAATCGTCTCGAGAATTGCACCCACACGCGCGCTGCCGAAATCCCCACACACCGCCGCCGACAGTTGACTCCACACGCCACACACCCTAGAGCGCCTCCACCTGCACGTCTCCGTTTCACCAATGAACCTCTAGATTGCCCGGAAATTGAGATTACAAGTTTTTTTTCGCAAAAAATCTGGGCAGATTTTTCAATCTGATTTCTAATCCAATTCTGCTGGTTTTTGGACCTGCTTTTGGTGGAAAATCCACACTAACCATACTCTAATACTATTTGTTGTGGAATTGATCTTCAATTTGTGGAATTCGACTCAGTTTGCAGTATCCTATCCCAAATCAACACACACGACCACGAGCTCAACAACCCACAACTATGTTACTCCTGTTGCCCAAGTTAATATACCTACAAAGGAACACAAGTATGGCGGTGGTTTGCAAACCACAAAGGCAAAGAGAAAGCTGTCGAGGCAGGCATAAGAGGAAGAGCAGCCACTTGTTTCTCTCAAAATAAGGCAAAGCACACACACGGTTACCACCCTAACCAAGGCCATATATAGATTTAGGGTAAAGTCAAATAGGCCAACAAAAGGCAAATGGGCCAAAGATGTATTAAAAAGGACCATCCAGGGAGTACCAAATGCTGGTGTGTTGATATAATTTCATACATCAGTTGACGCGACAACTATATAATTAAACTGTTTAACATCATCGTTCGGGATTTATAGGGTATCAAAACCCAACACATATGATCGCATTGCTGTAGATTACTATTTTCTTTTTGAATTTAATGATCATTTTCATGATTCTTCTAATCTAATGACTATATGAATAGAAGCTATGACCTGTTCAGCTCCATTGGCGTGTTTAAGAAGTCTCCTTCAATTACTATTGAACTGGGGTGAAAGCTGAGGTTATCATTGCTGATTCTTAGAGTTACCTTGTTTTTATCTACATTTTTTATCTTTTGTTGAAGTTACTTTGCTATTATATGCTTTTGAGTTGAGAAATGATGCTTGGTTATTTTTTCAAAAAAAAGATTATCGAGGTATGTATTTGTCTGGGACGTATTCTTAGGAAACTGAAGATTGAGATATTATCTGTATACTTTGATTGTCTACTCCACAGAGGACGTTCTATATCTTCCATGATTGATTACGTGCTTTCTTTCCATTCTGTTCTATAGATCTAGTTTTCACTGACACAAATTTTGATTGAAACGGTGCATTGAGTTCAGTTAACCCGATTTAGTTCTCTCTTGGGAAAATGATCAGGGCCAAATATATTGTTGGAACTGTGGCGGCTTTGCAAGCAAAACCTGGTGGAGGTATGAACTGGCTTGCTTCTCTTCGTAAATTAGATCTTCAAGAGGCCATTGATGCACTCTGTAGCTTACCCGGTGTTGGTCCCAAGGTGGCAGCATGCATAGCTCTCTTCTCTTTGGATCAACATCATGCCATTCCCGTTGATACTCATGTTTGGCAGGTCAGTTTTTAAGGACTTGATTGTTCTGGTTATGGAAATTGGCACGCATCTTTCTTTAGGGCTTTATTTCCATCATAGGTCAATAAATTGGTATTGTGGCTGTAATTTATTGTTTCTCAACATGTTTTCCTGAGACATGAATGTTTATACTTGATATATTAATTGAGTACATAAGTGTTTAGATCTTGGTTTCCTTGATATTTTCCGCTGATAATTAAGCGGGACAAGATTTGTGCCAAGTTGCTTATTAAAAATTTAGTTCAGCCACCAGGAATTTTTTGCGTGCTTGTAGTTGTTTGATAGTGCTTTTTAAAGTTTAAGTGCTTAGGAGCTGTGGAGTCTTATGGAATATGTGGGGATAATAAGTGGGTAGTAAGTTGTGGATCATACGAAATATGTGGATAAATAGTATATTTAACCAACTAAAGTTTAAACTTTGCTGCCAAACATGCTCTGACATATTCAGGAATACTGGTTGTGCATAATTTTCCATTTCTGCTTTATATGAAAATCACAATAGCATGCCTTGATAGAATAGGCAATTTTGATAAGTTATAGTTATATGACATCACTTAACTTAGTTAACTCATCCTTCAATCAGATTGAACGTATTTAGTTATGAATCTGAGAGTTTTTTTTCTCCTCTTTAGATCTTAAATTATATAAAATCATCAACTGGAAATAGGGAGAAAAGAACATAATATTTAGTTTATCAGTACTTAAAACACCAGGTTATGACCTAATTTACTTGAGGAAAACTATTGCACATTGTTTTCATCAAATCTGAAGCAAGATCATAAGATAATTGTCTTGAACAAAAGTTCGGGACTGTACTATAGTTACACCAAAATCTTGATCTTTCTTCGACTCCAATGTGATTCTGAACTGTCCATCTTTAGCTCCAAGGGTGAAATGATCAATCTGCTGAAATTTATTCTCCAGTTCTTTCACCATGTTGTCCTCAAACACGTGCATTTAATTTACAGGGTGCAAGTTCTTTTAACCCAATGAACTTGTCACACAGCCATAAGAGCGCGTCTCTCTGTGGAAAGTAAAACATCCCAACACACTTACTGCATGTCTCGCTTAATTAAGACAAAGCGCTCTCCGAGGGCATGGAGTGTCTTAAGTTTTGGGTCAGAATCTCCATTGTAATATCTATGTTAGATTCTATGGTCAAAATAGAAATCCATTATTCCTCTAGCTTGATTAACTTAGGCATAGCAAAGACAGTTTGTAAATCATGTTCCTTCCAATATACAATTCGTTGTGTGACATAAATCTTGAGATGCCGATTCTGAAATATTTCTCTTTTATTTGGAGACAGATTGCAACCAGGTATATCATTCCTGAGCTTGCTGGAACCCGTTTGACACCTAAAATTTTCAACCGTGTTGCTGATGCTTTTGTGAGTAAATACGGGAAATATGCTGGTTGGGCACAAACTCTGCTTTTCATAGCCGAACTACCTTCTCAGAAAGCACTATTGCCATCAAGCTTTTGGGATACCGAGGAAAGAAGCTCGGGTAAGCTTGAAAATAAAAAATCCCGAGGTAAACTAAACATGTAGTTGATTTATAAGCATATTCTGCTGAACATCACGAAGTATGTTAGTAAAATCTTTTGATGGATACACATTTATTTGCCATTTAGTAGCTTCTCTACTCTCTCATTTGAACTGGATATTTTTATCATTATTAGTTTCTTTCATCCTGTCTTCCACTTTTGGCTTACATGCTTTACGTTGTTGGAAACTAGAATGTTAACATGGTAGTTGAGGGAAAAAAAAGGTTTCGAGTCTTGATCAGTAGTATTGTTCATTCATGTCTAATACTATACAACTGTTTGTCTGTAACTAAACGTCATCACTCATACATCACTAGATTGTGACATCCAGACGGGTGTGGGGAAATGAGGAAGAATTAAACTAGTAGTACATTGATTTTGTTTATGTTAAACTAGTTGTACAAAATGGATGTATATGTAGCAAAATTGAAGGAGGAAACATGGAGTGAAGGAAAAGAAGTCGGTGGTGATGGTGATGGTGGTGGGGGCACACCTGTGTTTGGGGGTGGATGCTTCGACGTCCACTATACACGAGACTTTTTGACGGTCAAATGAACAAAAGTTTCAAATTTAACCTATTAAGATATTTAATAATGATCTCACTACTCATTTGAAAGATATTATAATATAATAAATAATTATAAATCAAAGTTTGAGCAAAAAAAAATTCAAGATAATCCTAATATATAAGATCATAAATATAACAGAATCTTGATATTCTATATTTTCCCAAAAATAATTTGATGTTTTTCAATGATTTATGATTTAAATTCTCGCCCCTGAATTGAAAAATTCCTTTGTTTTAAGAGGAAAATAAATAATGTTGAAATTATATTTTAAAATTTTAATGTAATTTTCAAGATCGGCGTGACCTTTGGATATTGGGCCTGATCACCTTTCTTAAGAGTCTACGACCAACTCTCTGGCCCACTACCAAAAGAGCAAGGGAAATTATAAAAAATCAGATGTTTAAAGATTATTTTTTAAAAACAAGGTCAACAATTTATTTATTCAAAAATCAGGTATTATACTAAAACCCAATTGATAACTCTAATTTATTCCCAAATCCTGGTCATTTTTCTTTCTCATCCTCTTTCTTTCTTTCTTTCATCTCTTCTCTTCCCTCCCCCTTAATTTTTTCTTTCTTCCCTCCCCCTCAGGTTCAGTAGCTGTTGCCAGCGTCGCAGCAGTGCGATGTTGCGTTCAGCAGCTGCGAGTTAGTAGCGTTTGGCTGAGTCGGTGGACGACGAAATTACAGTGAGTCGGTGGCTGAGTCGTGGACGATGAAATTGCTGCTGAGTCGATGGACGACGAAATTACAGTGAAATGGGTGTGTGGCTCGACGGTGGTTTGTGCGGATCGATGTTGAGGGAATCAGAGAGTCGGCAGATCTGTGGGTGTGAGGTGAATGTGTGTGGGGCTGTTATTTGTGGTTGATTGTTGTTTTTTGCTGTTGTTGGTGGCAGATCTGTATGTTGCTGGATGTGTGTGGTTTTCTTGGTGGTGGTGATTTTGGTGTTATTGTTGGTTGTGATTTTGCGGTGGTTTTCTCAACGGGGGATTTGAGGTGTTTTGTATGGTGGCATCTGTGGTGATGGATCGGCGATTGGGGTGGTGGTTGTGGGTGGTGACAGTGTTTTGTATGGTGGTGGTGGCTGAAATAGTGCCGTGGTATGTGACCAAGTATTTAGTTATCTGTGACCAAGTATTTAACTGTTACCTAAAAGTTTGACAATGTGACTGAAAAATAATCANGAATAGTCGCCGGAATAATCGTCAGAATCGGAGAAGTCGCCGGAGAAGAGTGGTGGTCCCCGGAGCGGTCGTCGGAATAGTCCCCGGAGCGGTATGGGTGGTGCATGTGGGATGTGTTAATTATATTATATTAGAATTAAATATTTAATAATAAATTGAGTTAATAATTTATTATTTTATAAATAAAAAATAAAAAAAAAAGTCCATTTTTGAATTTTCAAACTATAAACCTGATTTTTGAATTGGTGTAAAGTATACGCCTTATTTATGAGTTTCCCAAAGAGCAACGCTAGCAGACACGTAGATCATGAGCCAAAATTTCCTAGAAAGTACGTGTTACATGATTTACTACGGGTTTTGCTTGGTGTACACGTAGAGGACGAACACACACAATCAGGGGGTGGGGTGTGTATTTTTTGGAGGTTTTTTAATGAGACGGATCCCAGAGGCTCGACTCTGCCCTGGCAGAGGAGCATAATTCATTTCCTACGACACATCTTGAACAAGCTGGTTGACAATTCTATTTTGTATAATAAATTTATTTTTTAATTACGATTTGTTGACAATCTACCGACATATCACCAACGTGTCAACAATGTATCAAGTGACGTGTACAAAATCCTAAAATAATTTGGATTTGTCACCAGACATTTCTGTCACGTGTTAATTGTTGAAAGGCTCATACGGAGTGGTATGCTATCGTGCACTTCCAACCCGCTTCACTAGATTGGCCAAGAATGCCTGGTCCAGCACCAACCTATAAGCTATGACAGGCTTATATGGAACTCGTGCTAGTGCATGCACTACAATCCAACTCACTTTACACCTACACCTATAATATATAGTCGTAATGATCTTTTATAAACACACTTCTACTTTATGTATTTTGTATTTGGGATACAGCCCTGTCTATTTCCCAACTGTAAGGTTATAGCTACATATGTAACAACAAAGTACTAAACTTACAAAACCATAAAAAAATGTCTAGGACAGCATGAAGTACATCTGCAAGAAAACATCTTCTCTTATCTGCGTTGCTTCCTCCTCCCGGAATCAAAACTCGCAGGGCAAGAATCTTGTAAGACGATACCTAAGTCGGTAGCACAAGGTTGATAATACCGGTCGATAAAATCACGATCCAGGCTGTTAATAAATAAACAAAAAAATCTGATGAGATTGCCCCCTGACGAAGAAAGCTGAAAGCAAACAAAAACAATAAAATTGGTCAGGACTTGGGAAGCCTCTTGCAGTTTGCTTGAGCCCATCCGATCTGCTGGTTCTCGTTGTCGTAAATCACCAATTTATCTTGCAGAGAAACATCTGCAAAAGATTCGATGACATATTAGATTGCTAAATAAGAATATCTACATGTAGGAATAGATCTGTATTGAGTTCCATACCTCCAATAACGTTGAGATTTCCTAGCTCGACCTCACCACCGTTCAAGATACCTAAGCACACATTTCCATGTTCCTGATAAGACGGATACTAGTTTAAGCTTGCTATATTCGTTGTTTACGGGAGCACATTTGGCTGTGCTTAAAAGTTATTTTTCTAGAAACTAAATTAAAATTTACTTTCGAATATAATTTGTTAGTGGAGAAAGCAACTTTGAAAACTTGCGAAGTACAGCCGAACATGTTCTAAGCCCTAATTCCTACTTAGGATAGAAATAATAAAAATCAGAAAACAAGCACCACATACACAAATTTTTAGTCTCTCACTCTCAATCTGAGAGTGAAGTCTTCTTTGCAGTTTTAGGTCTTCACTGAATGAAGAACCGCCCTTAAGAAATCCTTTATATAGTAGGAATATTAGGACGACCTTATAAATGCATGGAATACCCAATATGGCCAATAGAGAAAGAATAGTACGATTGAGCTCCACATAGCCCAACAGTTATCTATTTAATTGCCAAGAAATACAAAACTGGTCAAAAGAGTATCTCACCGTGACAATAAGATAAGTTTGAGGCTGCAGTTGGAATTTGACGTTTTTGCCATTTCTGAAGCTCAACACCAATGGCTTGAAGTAATTAGTGGCATCATGGATGGATTTGAAGGGCTTTACACCTTTCCAGCAGACCGGGAGGCTTTTGTCCTCAACCGCAATAGTTAACTTCCCATTTATGTCTTTATTTATCTACAAAAAGGGCAATTACAGTTAGCTCCAGGCATACAGATAGAGAACTTCAGAGAAATCTTGTACCAGCTCGACCTCACCATAGAAACTAGGGCACTGTAAGCTTGAGAACTGAAATAACTGTAGGTACTGCCACTGTCAAAAACTATTGGAAGGCCTTTAATATTTGTAGCTTGGCCACCAAACTGGAGATCGGCCGGTCCCAGAGAGTAGTGTTTCCTGAAAATAACAATTAAACACCATAGAAACAGCATGTCATTTTCTTTCTGCTCCCTGATACTTTAGGAGCTTGTTTGGTAAGATAAACTGTAGAGTACGGGATAATATTAAAAATGATAAGAAATTATCTAGGCGGCGCTAAAGAAAAAGGTTTTCATACTGGAAGATTATACGAAACTTACCCGTATTTCAGAAACATTGGCATATATCAAAATATTTACAGGGAACGAAGGTCACAATCTTATCCCTTAAATTAATTTCCAACCATTTCCTAATTTCTCAAAGGACTAGATAATAGTAGTCCTATTACACTATCCAATACCATCTAGTATTGCCTGTCGAACATGTTCTAAAGACGACCAAAATAACTTAAAAGAGCTTACGTTTGGCTCAATATTGGTGTCCAAACGATCCCTGAAGAAGGCAGAAAATCATCTCCAAAGAATAGAAACCCTCCACCTTGCCCACTTAAACAGTGACCCACAACGTTTCTCGTCAGACCCATCTCACTCAATTGTGCAACAATGCTTGATTTGCCACTGCCAAGACCAAGGACTCCATCCGTGTAAGGTGGTGGACGAATGGAATTTGGAAATTCTTGATTGTATCCACATCTGCACATCACAATGTTGGGAAACAGAAATAAAGTTACTCGGATGAAAAGACAGAAATTTAGTTTTCTATTCCAATCACGATTCTTGGATAAATTACAGATGGCAGCCTAGTAACGTCGACTGAAATAAAGGGATCATGATAATTTTAGTTACGAGATGGCATTCAAGATATATAGCATGCTTGGCTAAGCTTAAAAGCTTACACATAAATAAGTAAACTTCAAACCAAAAACATTTTCTATTGGCCAAAACTGAAAATAAGTTGCATGATGCCGCCAAAGCAGCTCATAAGCTGCATTTAAGCTTACCCAAACATGCTCCTGATAGTAAGACAAGAGTTACTTTCAAAATAAGTAAGTTTTTAACTTAGAAGTAAGACAAAGCAACATAACCAATCATGTTAGGAAATAATTATTAATCTTAGCCAAAAAATGCACATAAGACTTCAGGCCTCCAATGTACCAAAAGAGAGAAAAGTGAACCTAAAGCCTAATGACAAGAATATAACTCACCCGAATGCAAGACGAGGACCTAATATGCTACCATTGGTGAACCTAAAAGGAAATGAGTCCATGACCAGCACACCCATAGATGAACCTAGATCAGCATAAGTGACCTCATAGTCACATTGCTCATCGGAGGTTTCACAATTTTGGATTGCAGGTCCATGGAGTGAGACACATAGGGCATGGTTACATGTGACAAGGTTTTTGCTGGGTTTATAAAGAGTGTGTGGGGTCTGGAAAGAAACAAAAATAAAGAGAGATTAGCAAAATTTTGAAAATAACTTCTTATTAAACAACTAAAAGTCACATAAAAAAAATACCCGAGTGCATTTAGCGCAAGGTGCATCACACTGGAGCCAAGTGAGGTCGCTGCCAGTATCTATGTCAAAAAAGTAAGGTTTCGGAGGTTGGCCCACATTGATAGTAACATGATAAGACCTGCATAAAGAATAAGCAGTGAACAATCCAGTTCTATATTGAACAAGAAAATTCAGATAAGGTATAACCCCATGGAAAAGATGCAGAAAAGTTTGTAAACATGTTTATCGAGTAAAAGCCACTTCTAAATTATGGATGTATTAATAAAATACAAAGAAAATTGTAATGATATCAACCCAAACAATTGAAACCAAAAGGCAGAGACATGAAATGAAGGAAAATCGTCAGGTATTTTCGCAGTAATGGGAAAATTGCTTCAAGTTCAATGAGGGCATGTTCAATATACAATATTGATCATTGCTAGACATTACCACATAGACAATATTTTAACTTCGTTTTCTTCTTAAATCCTCTCCAACAATGTCTTGTCAAAAAAGAGCATAACTAGAAAGCTCTGCTGATGAGATCACAGAGCACTGAATTGATTAGAAACAGAAAGTGGAAAAGAAATATCTGCTAGGACCAAAGGGCCAAAAACTTACAAAAAAGTGCATACTTTTTGATGTGAAAAATTATCTTTCCAGCTTGGAATAAGACGTATCAATAAAAATGCTTGTTCAGAAACCTTCCCGAGAAAACACAAGGTCATGGAAATTTACCAGAAATTCGAGAGACTTATCCCATTTCAAGAAAACCTTTATTATAAAATACATGCAAGAATTTTCAACTCTCAATTATTCTCATTATATATGAACTAAAAATAGAAAAATTCATCGAAAATAATAAGCAAAAATTCAAAACCAAAATTAAATCCAATTTTAGCAATTTCGACCCAATTTCCCTAATCAAAACACAATCAACCATCACATGCATACAAAAATAAAAAGTACCCATCAAGAATTATTAAAATTTCAGATTAATCCATAAAGCAATTCAAGGAAAAAAAAAAAAAATTACCCTTTTGGATAAACATTTCCAGTGACAGGAAAAAACACGGAGGAGCCAAATCCTTTCCCTTTTGATTGTTTCTTGTTAATGATCTGAGGCTGATGAGCAGCTATTGCAGACCATGCCAAAAAATACAACAACAATGCTTGAATTTTCATCTTTTCAGCCATCTTTGATTCTTGATTGTTGATGATGATGTGATCGAGGATGATTGTGCTAAAATGGAGAACACACGCTTTTAGCTACAATTTTTTCTCTCTTTTCACTTTGAGATGGGGGACAAAAACAGAGACTTTTGTGAAGACCTGTGTTAAGAGACTGCCATACTGATTGAAACTTTTCACAGCTGGCTTTTAGAGTTGCCCTGAAAATTCCACGCGGAACATGCACATTTGTATGTACAGAAATTGGTTTCCCAGAAGTATCGCTCACATGGGTGGGCCCCATGCAGGACCCAAAGTGTGAGCTTTTATATTTGGGCAAAATGAATAGAGTTCATTGGATGACAGTGCACGTGGACTCATCCAAATGACTTCCCTTTCTTGTCACATACATCAATCAATCACAATCTTAAATGCCATTACCACTTTTGTATCCATAAAGCTTAGATTGTAGTTTAGACTTGACCAAATAGGATGGCGGCGGCGGCAGTGACAATGAGTTGTCTTGTCAACTCACATGGTGTGAGATCCATTCAAGATCTCGACACTGCCTCTTCCTGGGCCGACTCTGTCAATGCGGTCTGCATGTAAAGAGGTTTGCCCAGAAGTTTTATGTGGGAGAGACAGCTCGTTCGCACCTGAATCGGTTAGCCTGTATGTAGCTGGGCTGGTATATGCCAGCGTATGAGGCATGGGCCCCCGAACTGTTCACCACGTAGGCTAATTGGGCCCCTTCTTGGGTCTTAGTTTTTTCAGGCGTAACAACACTCCTGAAGTCCCGTTATGATTATTCATATAATGCGTAGACTTTCGAGTTGGCATAAAGACTTGGAACGGGTGTTGAGCCTCTTTGATAGCTGAGGCCTGCGACAAGGCTGAATGACTCGAGGGGAGGCCCTTGGAGCAGATGTCGAGCCTCTTTAATGACTGAAGCCTCCCAGGTGGCGTACTCTAATGATTTGAAAGATACGTTGATACCCAATAAAAAAATAGCTGTGGTAGGGTTTCCAAGATTTGTATTGCGTGCGCATTTAATGCACAATGATGATGACGTGCTTTACAGAATTCCCACCATGTACCCCCATAGCACAACTCTATATATTAGATTGGAATGATTGAATGTATATTGTTGATCTCAAAAAACGTACCAATGATGTGGCCTCTCAGTTCATGCAAACTGAATTTCTGTACACTTGGACAAATCAATAGTCACACATGGCCTTCTCAGGAGGGACGGAGTTGGCCGCGCGCACTCTGACGATCAAGTTAGTTAGAGAAGTAGTTTAGAGTGTGGAAGAGCTTTGAACGCGAACCTCCAATAAGTAAAAAGGGGGGTCGGCTTGAGGGTGAATAGTTAAAATGTGTGTAGCAAGAATATAGTTTTGAAAGTTTGAACTTGCATTACCTTTCAATGGCACTAAGTGTGAGCTTTTATACTTGAGCAAAATGAATAGAGTTCATTGGATGACAGTGCACGTGGCCTCATCCAAATGACTTCCCTTTCTTGTCACATACATCAATCAATCCCAATCTTAAATGCCATTACCACTTTTGTATCCATAAAGCTTAGATTGTAGTTTAGACTTGACCAAATAGGATGGCGGCGGCGGCAGTGACAATGAGTTGTCTTGTCAACTCACATGGTGTGAGATCCATTCAAGATCTCGACACTGCCTCTTCCTGGGCCGACTCTGTCAATGCGGTCTGCATGTAAAGAGGTTTGCCCAGAAGTTTTATGTGGGAGAGACAGCTCGTTCGCACCTGAATCGGTTAGCCTGTATGTAGCTGGGCTGGTATATGCCAGCGTATGAGGCATGGGCCCCCGAACTGTTCACCACGTAGGCTAATTGGGCCCCTTCTTGGGTCTTAGTTTTTTCAGGCGTAACAACACTCCTGAAGTCCCGTTATGATTATTCATATAATGCGTAGACTTTCGAGTTGGCATAAAGACTTGGAACGGGTGTTGAGCCTCTTTGATAGCTGAGGCCTGCGACAAGGCTGAATGACTCGAGGGGAGGCCCTTGGAGCAAATGTCGAGCCTCTTTAATAACTGAAGCCTCCCAGGTGGCGTACTCTAATGATTTGAAAGATACGTTGATTCCCAATAAAAAAAATAGCTGTGGTAGGGTTTCCAAGATATGTATTGCGTGCGCATTTAATGCGCAATGATGATGACGTGCTTTACAAATAACAAGGCTTACGTGAATCTAAGGGGCGTGTAATTCACGATTTCATCAGGGCCCTTGATTTGAATATTGGACTTGCGCCTTTTGATTTCAACGTAGTAGATGAGACTGCGGATGTACGACTTAGATTTGAATGAGAAAAGATCCAATGGTGGGGGTTCTTTCATTTTGCATATATAAAAGACCCAAAACCTACTCCTTTCCTTTTTTCTCCCATTTTGCGAAAATCAAAAGTTAAAAAAGTGTTGAAAACCTTTGAAATCTTTCAGAACTTCCACCATTTCCTATCCGGGGAGCAGCTCTATTTTTCTACTTTTCGGCATCCAAGACCCGTGTAAGTACCTAAATATTTTCAGATTTTCTAATTTGTTCGTATAAAAATGGCCTCCACTTCAAAGAAGGCATATGGGAAATCTTCCAAAGTAGACATTGATTTGTGTCGAAGCGGGTGTGGCCCCTATAATCCCCACTGAAAAGAATATGGAGGCCATGGGTGTCCCTCATAGTGCATGAATGATGCCAGTGGGTCCCATATATTTTAGTATTAGGTGGGGGCTTCTTTGTAGACTACGGATATTAAGGAGGATGAGTTAGAGACCTTTAGGGAGAGGTTTAGGATCCCCTATAATATAGAAATGTTTGTCCCAACCCTTAAAGAAAAAGCATGTTTCCTAGGAAATAGTGCATAGAAGTCAGCGATGCCAACTTAGGTGGAGGGATGAAGCTATCCTTACACCCGTTCTTTAGGTACATCCTTAGGCACTATAACTTGGCCCCTACCCAGCTAGTGCCAAATGCATGGAGCCAATTAGCGGGGGCTTTTCTTATGTGGAAGGAGGTCACTCTTGACGAGGATATGTCCCCGCACGTTTTCAAACCCCCTTTTCAACCCTGAGCCTTTAATGGGGAGTGACTGCTGGCCCACACTCTCCTTTCATCTGGGAGACCCCAACCTCCATCAAGAATTGAAAGTTCTCCTGGTTTTCAGTTAGGGTAGCTGGCAAACAGTGGAGAGAAATGAGGTCCTAGAGCTCATTGTGCCGACCAAGTACCATGAGTATAGTGAGTCGAACCCTTATCGAGTGTGACATTTATCTTATGTTTCTGCTTCTCCCATTCCCTCTTCTTTCTTAGTTCTTTGCCTAATGTAAACTTTGTGTAGCTGTAGTTAACGGGTTCGAGCTTGAGCCATCTGAGTGGAGCATCATAAAAACCATTTACGGGCTGCCTTCGGAGAAGGGGTCTTTCAAGAATGTCATTGTCACACATAGTTTAATGGCTACCAAGGGTAAGGAAGGTCTTAATAATTTTTCTTATTATGTGAAATGCTTCTTGGGCCTAATCGCTAACAGTTGGCTCCTCGTTTGTAGGTCAACATGAAAAGAAGGAGTATGTCAAGCTAGATATACTTTTTCTTAGACGCATAGGAGAGGCGAAAAATAAGAAGCCCTTAGGCTCCACCTCTTCGACTTACAAGAACTAGCACGATGAGCTGGCCTGCCTCTCAAAGGTGAAGCCACCGTGTCCTCCAGAGAAGAAGGGGGAAAAAGAGAAAAGGGAAATGAAGGAAAAACTTCCTTAGAGAGGCCCCCAAAAAGGAAGCTGGTTTTATCAAAGAATATCGAGCCTCCCCTCCCCTTAAGCGTCAGACAACTATTGGGAAGTCCCTGCGACGACCTATTATAGTAGAGCCCATATCCTCTGTGAAATTGTGGATGTGGAAGAGGCGATAGAAGATGAGGTAGACCTCGTTAAAGGCCAGGAGTGCCCCCTCTAAAGGAAAGGCCTAAAACTTCCTTGGTGGGAGGTCAAACAAAATTGCCTCCACGGTTATGGTGATGCTCCCTGTCGAGGTCCAGAGGGCTACGAGAGTCCACCAAAAATATTGGACTGATGAGTATTCTCCCTATGT